CAAATGAAAACGATGTACACAAATACACATGTACAATCAACAAGATAGATGACTACTTTCATTTCATCACTTGCTTTTGCTTTCCCATACCTCCTTTATTTATACTTCACTGAGTTGAAGGGTTTGCAAAGCTTTCCACAATGTGCTCGATAATTTAAGGAGGAGACAATATCTTTGCATCCATCTCCCTCCCAATAATTTTTACATGGACTACCACTCCAGTCATTTGTGATCCTATAATGTCCATACAACAACTACAATGACAACTTTCCTTTGGGAATTAGTATGAGTGAAATATTTAATATATTTTCCAGTATCTAGATGCAATATGGTATTTGAGGGGATTTCAGTTTTCTTCAGTGACATTCAGCAAGGCAAAAATGAGGAGCATGGTTAACTTGCAACTGAGCACCATTCCTGGGGGCTCCAGTTCTTCCCATTAGAAATAATGAGAGCTCTCACTTTTAGATCAATTCTATGGATGAAATTGCTGAGGACAGACTACTTGTAACTGGCATGGTAGCAGAGTTGCAGCAGAGGGAAACTCATTTTGTTTGATGAGTTTGATGAGTTTCATTTTCCTCGCTATCAGTTCAGTTCATGAAAGGTACTGACCGATGTTCATATTTATGGCATTATGGCATTCTCAGGACCACATGAGACCAAAACTGATTTCACAAAGGCAACCAAATAGACATCATAGATCATAAAAATTATGAGTAATACTCAAGTAGCACATTTACCCATTACTCGTCCCCTTAAATTCATCACGATTAAATAAGATACATATAGTTAGTTTAGAGACTGAGTTAAAGCTAATGTTTTAAGGGAAAATGACCTCAGTGCTGTCAGTTCTCAAGAGGGTAAGATTAGATGAATAGATTTTAAAGTCCATTTGATTATGTACTCCACTGGTGCTCAGCCTCCATGCCATCTGGCTCATGGGGCTCCCTATGGGTCTGGAAATTTGGCAGTGGTCCCAAGGTTAATTACCACTGTGACAGCTCTCCCTGCTATGCTGATACACGGGGCTGGCCTGGCATATGGGGTCACTCTCTGGCTGGATCTGGCATGCAATGTCACTCCACAGCTGGATGTGGTATTTGGGGTCATTTGGCAGCTGGATCTAGCCCACAAATGGACTCTGCCCGCAGAATCCAGCCAGTGGACCAGCCCCACACTGCTTATTTGACCTGCTGGACTGGAAGGCCGAGCACCATTGATGTAGTCTAATTTTCTACAAAACAGAAGTCCTTAGAATATAATTCAGCTACTCCTGAACAGAATGCTGCAACATATATATGTTGGCTAAAACTTACTTTCCAGAAAGCCATATGGTCCTGATCTGAGAACATCAAGACAGCTAAGGCTTCACATGGTTGTTTGTTCCAATGGCTGATCGCTCCCACTGTTAATAATGTATACCTTATTTCTAATATGGATTTGCCTGGATCTAACTTCCAGCTGTTGCTGCTGGTTCTGACTTTCTATGATAAATCCCTTTAGTGCCTGGTGTTCTCCCTCTACGAAGGTACTTATACCACTGTAATCAAGTTACCTCTTGATATTGTTTTTGATAAGCTAAGCAGATTGAACTCTTTAAGTCTCTTGCTGAACTGCATTATTTCTTCTTCTTGAACACTTTTTGTAGCTCTTTTTTGCACTTGATCCCATTACCAGATGAGCAAACACCATCTTTGGAATAAAGTTTAAACTTTGCACTAAATTAAGTAGAAAAACAGAGTTTTACAAGTACCTCCTTTTGCTGGGTATAACTCCCATTTCCTCGCTGTCTCCTTCCAGCGTGACCCTCCTCGCCTGCCACCACTCATCATCAGAAGCGTTGATAACATGGAGGATGTCTCCATATTTAAAACTGAGTCCTTGACTTGGGAGGCCACTGTCTTTGCTCTTGTCATAGTCAAACATGGCTCTGTGAAGGAAAAGGATATGAGAATAGGTGATTAGACCAATCTTGACAGCACATACTTGTGAACAGCTTCTTGTATTTTAAGCTTCTCTTACTTCTTTCAAAGGGGATTGGTTTTAAACTGTCTGAAGAAATATAAAAGCCTCTTTCCACAGGGCAGTTAATCATTGTAACTATAGAACATATTACTCATAAAAACAGCCTCTCTCTAAATGAAGCTGCTAAGTACCTTACTGTTTTCACAAATGTTTATGTTTAATCAGCATTTCAGAGTAAAGCTGATAAAATACACACAGTACCAGGAATTTTACAAAAAACTCCCTCTAACTTATAACATTTGGCTTTAGTATCTATGGGAATTTGTGATTGTAACAGTTGTCCCCTACTTATCTTCTTAAGAAAAGTGCAACTTTCATTGAGCTCAGATACCATGGTAATAACAGGTGCAAGTATTACACCTCAGCAAAAGAGAAGAGAATTATATTAGTATACAGTAAGGTCAGGCTCTGCTTTCTTTGAAGTCACTGAGAGGTTGCCACTGTGAAACCAGACTTGTCTATGTCTATGCTGCAATCCAGAGGAACAACAGCAGCTCATATACACAAATCTAATTAGATAGGTCAAGTACTGAGAGTGGTGTAGCATGGCAATACAAAGCAGGCTAGCCACTGACTATTTACCCAGGGTCCTAGATGACTTTTGCAGCCCATGCCAAACCTTCTACCTCTGGCAGCAACACCCTTATTGGTGCATAGCCAGCTAGTTAAAACTAGCTCAGATACAGCTACCCAGACAGCAATCACACCTGCAGCCTGCAATGCAGGCACATCTTCTCTTCCTTGGGGCCAGATCCTGATGCTAGGTTTGTGTTCATTAGCAATGGGCTCTGGGTGAGCATGCAGTATGAATCCACTGTTGAATCTACACTGTAGCTGTTTTCCAGTGGACTATGCACCAGAAGGATTTCTCCTATGAAAATACAGTTTAACAAACACAATACACCGCAACAGATGTTTCTTGTCTTGCGGGGAGGAAGAGGAGAACACAATTTCTAAGTGCAGCATTCCTGGCCTGACAAGAGCTCCCAAGAGGCATGTAATAATTTTCATTCCCTTATTGTCAGAAACAAAGACTTGGAAGTCTTTATTGGTAAGCACTTGTAGAAAAAAGGATGTATTCAGAGTTGTACATCTAAAACGACAACTGTTTGAAAGCTGTAAGCATTCACTGTGGGTGAAATTGTGAGAGGAGAAAGAATATATTCTTAGGCCACATCCCCATGAACAGGAATGCACAGTTTGCAGTGCCTCAAAATGCATGTGGCACATGTTAATGTGTTCACCATGCTACCTATTTGCAGCATGGGGGCAAAATTAGATACTGGGATATCCCAGTATCTTAAAAAAACACACCAAAAAATAAGCAGGATGGCACACATGGCAGCAGTGTGCACCACCCGAAACCATAGCCTGGCCAGTCAGAGCTGCACTCTGGCTTCTGACCAGGCTCCATGCACCCAGATCATTGCTGCTGAAGCTCCAGCAGGCACACAGATGCTAGGGCCAGGCCAGGTACTGTCCCCAGCCTCCCCTACCCGACCCGCAACTCACTGTGTGCACGCAAGGGCATGCCCAGGGATAAGTAGCAGCAGCACAGATATGTGTCACTGCTATTTGTCCCTAGGGAAATGCATGTGTGCACTCATGAGGACACGCCCTTTGTGTCTTCTCTTATGGAGATTATAGTGGTGGATGGCGAGGACAGGAAATACCAAAAATGGCTTTTGCATACAGCGACTCATTTTCCTGAGCAGGGACCAGATCAGCCTGTCCACCGGGACCCCCTCAGGCCCCAGGGGAGGTGCACCCAGGCCTAGGATCTAGTGAGGGATGCAGTGAGGATCTAGTCAGGGAACTTCTGGAGGGACTGGACGTATTTAAATCAGCTGGTCCTGACGATCTCCACCCCAGGGTGCTGAGGGAATTAGCAGAGGTCATTGCGGGATCCCTGGCACGGCTCTACAAGCACTTGTGGTGCTCTGGTGTGGTGCCAAAGGACTGGAAAAGGGCCAATGTGGTTCCCATTTTCAAAAAAGGGAGGAAGGAGGACCCAGGGAACTATAGGCCAGATAGTCTTATCTTGATCCTGGGTAAGCTTTTTGAGAGAGTTATCCTGGCACATGTCCGTGAGGGGCCAGCAGGGGAGGTTATGCTTAGGGGCAACCAATATGGGTTCATCAGAGGCAGGTCCTGTCAGACCAACCTGGTGGCCTTCTACGACCAGGTCACAAAATCCTTAGATGCAGGGGTAGCAGTGGATGTAGTCTTTCTGGACTTTAGGAAGGCCTTTGACACTGTCTGTCACCCCATTCTCATTAAAAAACTAGGGGACTGTGGTGTCGATACCTACACAGACAAATGGGTCACTAACTGGCTGGAGGGCCGCACCCAGAGAGTGGTGGTGGACGGGTCATTTTTGACCTGGAGGGATGTGGGCAGTGGGGTCCCCCAGGGCTCGGTCCTCGGACCCACGCTGTTCAACATCTTCATCAGTGACTTGGACAAGAGGGTAAAGAGCACCCTGTTCAAATTTTCTGACGACACTAAGATGTGGGGGGATGTGGGCATGCTAGAAGGGAGGAATAGGCTGCAATCGGACCTAGACAGGTTACAGGGGTGAGCGGATGAGAACAGAATGGGTTTCAACACTGCCAAGTACAAGGTGCTGCACCTGGGGAGGAAGAACCAGCAGCATACCTACAGGCTGGGGAACTCCCTTCTTGTCAGTGCAGAGGCAGAAAAGGATCTTGGAGTCATTATTGATGCCAAAATGAACATGGGCCGACAGTGTGGGGACGCAGTCAGGAAGACCAACCGTACCTTGTCACGCATCCACAGATGCATCTCAAGCAGGTCCAAGGTGGTGATCCTCCCCCTCTATGCGGCACTGGTCAGGCCTCAGCTGGAGTACTGTGTCCCACAAGAGAAGGCTGAGGGGGATCTAGTGGCCTGTTACAAACTAGTCAGAGGGGACTGAGCACTCCCAGGAGTGACTAGAAATAATGGTCACAAGCTGGCCGAGGGGAGATTCAGACTAGACATCAGGAGGCGCTACTTCACAGGGAGGCTAGGATCTGGAACCAACGTCCAAGAGAAGTGGTGCTGGCTCCTACCCTGGGGGTCTTTAAGAGGAGGTTAGACAAACACCTTGCTGCAGTCATTTGACCCCAGTACTTTTTCCTGCCATGGCAGGGGGTCGGACTTGATGATCTGCTCAGGTCCCTTCTGATCCTACCAACTATGAAACTATGACTCCATTCAGTCCTCTGAGGGTAACAACTATAAAAGAAAGTCAGTTTCTGGCCAAACTTTATGTAGTCTGTGTTCAAGTCCACCAGTGCAGCTAACACTTGCACATTGTTCTGGTGAAAACAAACACCCACTTTATAAGTGGAAACTGTTCAAAAGTTTAGTTGCCCTCAGTGATGAAGTGCATTATTAACAGATCATTGTCAGTCACAGGTCATCTGCTACTCTCTAACAAACTCATGAGCACAAGGCATGTCAGTCTATATGCTCATAGCTAAGAAACTAGTTGAGTCTATTTTACCTTGACACATCAATGAAAACGCATTTCACTCTATTTTAAACTGATAAGGTGTTGGCAATTGGCTTCATGAGATGAATAATCCGGAAGCAAGGCTCTGATTTTTTGAGAGAACAGGCCTGTCCTAAACAAAAATGTTTTCTGAAGAAGTCCATTAAGCAATAATGCACCTTAATATAAAAAACTTTAAGAGCCCCATAACTGTGAAATCTGGGGTGAATATAGTAGGTCCTAAATTTATCTACAGTCAATTTGCTCCAAACAAGACACATTATCTTGTGAAGCAAAGAGTGAACAAGACACTTGCACTACAGAAGTGTAATGTGTGAAAGCGGGAGGTGTGGAAATGGTCCACCTTTTGAAACTTCTGAAGTATGTTGCCAAAGCCAAATAATGAAAAGAAAGTAACTGTATTTCTGAACAGATGCTGAAGTCCTGTGATCTCCTATGTTAACCTAAAACCACAGATTACCAGTCTGGTTGATGCTAATGATGGAAGCAGATGGTAATGTTTACCATTGATTTACAGTGATTGGAGCTATGTGCCACCCAAATTAAATGAATGTAGAGATCTGAAACAAAAGCATTATCAAGCACTCATTTTATTGACTGAAAGAGTGAAGGCTATTGTGCACTGTAAATGTTGATTAGCACAGGAAAGGTATGCAATTTGAACTGATTTGAATCTTTCCTCCTTTCCAAACACTCCAGATGAACTCAGACTGGAGATCTCACTATAGCTCTGATGGCACTGAAGGCTTGGTGGGACCTCAGAGAAAACCCTTTCAGTGTAAGTCAACAGTCTGGTATTGACTCTGCAAATAATTATCCACATTCACTATTGACCTCATATGAAGAGATGGGACTTATGGGCTAGGGACAGACATTACACATAAACTGGTATAAGTGATTGGAAATGGGTTTAAACCTGTAACTGAACAGAAGTTCAGTGCACATTGACCAGTTTCAAAATGCCTGAGACTGGTTTAAGATAAACCTGGATGGATGCAGTATAAAACTTAACTGATTTAGGTTTTAATAGTTTCAAAGTAGCTTCATAGCTTCATAGTAGCTAGGGTCAGGAGGGACCTGAACAGATCATCTAGCCTGACCCCCTGCCACAGGCAGGAATGAACGCAGGGTTCCCAGGAATGAATGCTGGGGTCACAAGACCCCAGACAGGTGATCATCCAACCTCCTCTTGAATTTGCCCAAGGTAGGGGCGAGGACCACTTCCCTGGGAAGTTGGTTTCAGATTTTGGCCACCCTAACTGTAAAATATTGCCTTCTGATCTCCAACCTAAACCTATTCTCCATCAGCTTATTACCATTGTTCCTCGTCACCCCAGGTGGTTAAATCAGTTTATTGAACTTCTGTCCCAAATCCCCTCCTGACT